GCACGCACTGCCCCCTTGTCCCTCCCTCAGCAGGAGGGAGGCCACAGATCCGTGTGACGCTGCCATCTAGTGGAGAATTGAGTTACTTGGGTTTCTTCACCTGCTTTCAATGAAGCAGGTGCTAGGGAATAGCATTTTGTTGATAAAGTGAATTGATACTAATTTTTACATATTAAAATTTAAATGGAGTGACAGGAAGAAAATTACAGCCATTAAGAAAGCAAAATACTGCCTATGCCGAGTTTTCTGTTCCTGCCATAATCTAGTCTCCAGAGACCTTAATTGTCTTGACACCCTCACAGCATCACACTGCGCCGTGACATTGGACCCCATGGTCAGGAAGCAGCCAGTACCGTAGATGTCCTAAGATGTGTGCCGAAGGTGGTAGACAAACCCAGTCTTTTTTTTTTTAATCTTCACCCAAGGATATGCTTGTTTTTTTAATGATTGACTTTAGAGAGGGAGAGAGAGAGAAACATCAACGTGGGAGAGAAACATCGATTGGTTACCGCCTGTATGTGCTCCAATCAGGGACCAACCCCTAAGCTGGGTATGTGCCCTGACCAGGAATCAAACCTGCGACCCTTCAGTGCGCAACCAGCCAAGCCGCCTGGCCAGGGCAACAACCATTCGCTACCAAGTACTGTACCCGTCAGGGTCCCGTAAGAAAGCCCTGGTAGCCCTGGCTGGCATGGTACAATGGTTAGAGCACCCGCCTGCTAACCAAAGAGTCATGGGTGTGATTCCCAGTTAAGGGCATGTACCTGGGTTGCAGGTTTGATCCCTTGGCCCTGACTGGGGCACCGACAGGAGGCAACCCATCGATGTGTCTCTCTTGCATCAATGTTTCTCTCTCACCCCCTCCCTTCTACTCTCTCTAAAAATCAGTGGGAAAATATCCTCGGGTGAGGATTAAAACAAAATGTGTTAGTGCTAGAAATGAAATATTAGTTCAGACTTAAAAGGAACATTGGAATGTGGCTCAGTTAAAACCCTTCTAGAAGTGTCCATCCAGCACGTGGTGACGTATTCAACCGCATAATCTGGTGAGGGACACTGGCTTGCTATTTATAACGAGGCAGGCGCTCCATTGCTGAGCACTTGTCAGCTCGCGGAAGGAGCTGAACATCCTGTCCAGGACTTTGCAAAATTCTTTCAGACCCTCTCATGCAAACTTCAGTAGGAAATGGTGTCACCAGCCGGAGTGGTTGTCTGTAGACAGACCCTCGTCTTATATTTAACTTTGAAAATACACTTACAACCCTTTTAAAGATATTTTTTCTCAGTTATGCTGCTGGGTTTAATTCGGTGCAAAAGGAAAATCGGGTGGTAGGTAGACGTTGTATCATGTTTGGGCCTCGACCTGCTTTTATGACTCCTGCTGCATTTATTAGTTACGGTTATTATCTGCTCACCTTCCTGAGCCCTTATCTCATGCCAGTCACTGGAGTTCGGGATATAAATAGTTGAGTTTCCACATTATCCTGTCAGGGAGGTACCCTTATCCTCACTTTAGAAACGAGAAAGCTGAGGCTGGAGAGGGCAGGTGACCTGCCTGCCCAGGGCCACAGCCAGGCAACAGGAGAGCCAGGATGTGGGCCCAAGAGAGTGACTCGCAGTCTCAGACACCCTTTAAAAACAAAGGTGACGCCCGGCCGGCGTGGCTCAGTGGTTGAGCATCAACCTACGGACCAGGAGGTCACGAGTTCGATTCATGGTCAGGGCACATGCCCAGGTTGTGGGCTTGATCCCCAGTAGGAGGTGTGCAGGAAGCAGCCAATCAATTATTCTCTCTCTTCATTGATGTTTCTATCTCTCCCTCTCCCTTCCTCTTCTAAAATCAATAAAAAAAAAAAAATTTTTTTAAAGGTGACACCCATGCCAGGTTCTGTGGGTTTTTGTTTTTGATTTGAAAGAGAGAGAGAGAGCGAGAGAGAGAAACATCAATTTGTTTTCCTTATTTATGCACTGATTGGTTGATTCTTGTATGTGCCCTGACCCGAGTTGCTCTGATTGGTTGATTCTTGCATGTGCCCTGACCCGAGATCTAATCCGAAACCTTGATGTATCGGGACGGTGCTCGAACCAACTGAACTACCCGGCCAGGGCCAGGCTATGTGGTTTAAGCAACTAGAAACATTTGGGCTCAATACTGTAGCCATGAGAAAGTGTCTTAATCTTTGGACAACTCTTCAGAAGTTGTGGCAAATATTAACTATCGAATCGTGACAAGCATACTACCTAGTTCCATTTCTTTATCACTGATCATTCTCTCCTCTGACCAGTGCCTATGGGTCTGAAACATGTGGTGTCATGAGACCAGGTGAACGGGCCCCCCTGCCCGAGCATAAGGGTTGGCTTCTGGCTTTGGTTTCGCAGTTAATACTAATCAGGTACCTGGGGCAGGCAGAGCTGCACATAGACACACACATGTATTCCAGGGTAACTATTCAGATTTTTTAAAAATATAATTATTGATTTCAGAGAGGAAGGGAGAGGGAGAAAGAGATAGAAACATCAATAATGAGAGAGAATCATGGATCGGCTGCCTCCTGCACGCCCCCCACTGGGGATGGAGCCCGCAACCCAGGCATGTGCCCTGACCGGGAATCAAACTCGTGACCTCCTGGTTCATAGGTCGATGCTCAACCACTGAGCCACGCCAGCTGGGCAACTATTTAGATTTTGATTTATATTCAGAGAGGGAATTTGATGTGAGATATTTTCAGCAGACCAGCCTACAATAATGTCACAGCCCATCTGGAAAGTTATCATTCACGCTTTGAATATGGCGTTTTTACTGACACCTCACGTTGCACCGAACGGCATTGCCAACATCTTAGGAAAATGCGCAGTCCACTGCTTTTTAAAGAGAGTTAAGGAAAGTGGGGCAAAGGGCAAGTGGGCGTGGAGGAAATAAAGCAGGGAAGAGGTCGGCATGCAGCGCGTGTCATTCACGGCCTCCCGCTTTAAAAATAAACCGGCACAGCCCACTTTCCTAAAAATGGGGCTTCTCGGTCCGGAATCTCCGTCTCTCTTTTTCGGCAGCGGAACTTCTTGTCCTTTTTCCTACTCGGGGCCTTTTTCCCTCCCCCGCCTCAGCAAGTCTTCCCCTTCATTTCTGCCCACTGTTTCTCCAGTGGGCGACCGTCCACAGCACTCTGAGACCGTGAAGAATTACTTGGGGTTTTTTAAACCAGAGACGGGGAGCATTTGAGGATTCACTTGTCAGCTGGCTGGAACATCTGCGGGCAAGCTCACGTTTCCAATCTGGTGGGATCCTCACATCCGTTTGACGTCACGCCCGAGCTGCTGGATCCTGACTCGCTCGCTGGCCGTGTAGGGTGATGCCAACTGGATGAGTCGTCGTCCCTGGAACACAACTCACTTGGCATGCGTTGACGAAGCTACAATTTGGCAGTGGTATCCAGGCCTTTCTTCTAGAAATAGCTCTTACCGCTACACGTAGTGGACAGATCCGAAAGGGAAAGTGTAATCTTTCCACTGACTCCCTCTCCCGTGAGGATGATGGGGCCTTAGCCGGTTTGGCTCAGTGGATAGAGCGTTGGCCTGGGGACCAAAGGGTCCTGGAGTCGATTCCAGTCAAGGGCACGTACCTCGGTTGCAGGCTCCTCCCTGGCCGGGCCCTGGTCAGGGCTCGTGCAGGAGGCAACCCAGGGATATTTCTCTCTGTCTTTCCCTCTCTCTTCCACAATCTCTAAAAATCAATGGAAAAAATATCCTCAGGTGAGAATTAAAAAAAAAACAGATGATGGGGTGCCCCCCACATAAAACCACGCTTACACAGTGAGAACAGTGGTCGCGTTCTTTACAGCAGCAGCTTAACCAGATGAGTTGAGTGGGTCATGGGGACATGGAAACACCTCCCTACAGAACTGCAGAATGGCTGAGGGGAACGTGAGGTGCACGTTGTTCTCACTTTGTGCCACTGTAACTGGAAGAGAAATAAACACGCTGGGCAGAACGGTGGAGGAGGCTACAATTCTAAAATCGATGTTTGCTGGACTTGACTTTCAGTGACTTTTTAAAAACAGACTTTATTTTTAAGAGCAGTGTTAGGCAGAGTCCAGAGTTCCCATATCCCCTGCTGCCATCCATAGTTTCTCCTGTCATCGCATCTGTTAGTGCGAAATCTGCTGCAATGGATGACTCCATATTAATACATTATTATTATTAACTGAAGTCGGAAGGTTGCCTCAGCGTTCACTCTGTGTCATACAGTTCTGTGAGCTTTGACATACGCACAGGGTCTCGTAGTCACCATTACACGACAGTACAGAATAGTTTCCCCATCCAAAAACCACCTATCCCC